GTTTTTAATTATGAATTAATTGAAACACCAAGCAAGTTGTTGAAATCGTTTTAGTCTTGCGGTACTTGTCAGTCTTTTGAGAACAAGACTTTCCCATGCGGTCATGCAACTAGCGTTGTTTGTTATCTATTCGAGGAAACAGTGTGCCAAGAGAAATGTCTGAAAGAATTGCCATGTGGCCATCGGTGTACGAAAAAATGCAGCGAGTCGTGCAAGTGCTCATATGTCAGTTTACTTTGATCGTTTGTTGATACTACCACTGCTGACCCTCGTAGTTGTTATAAAAAAAGAAAAAAAAACCTCTAGTTGTTACACTTAGTTTTTTCGAGATGTTTTATGTCTTTCTTTTGTTTTACGTTCGATTACATCGTCGTATGGAAGCTATGAATTATGATATGCATTAAGTTGGCAAATTAGTAATGATGTTACTTCTTACCAAACTGACTTTCACCAATACTCCGGCTTCTAGTACAATGAAAAACCTCTGTAAGATCCAGATTACAATAAGTCATCTTCGAGCAATTCCCTTCGAGACTGCTCGATGGATAAACAATATTATTATGATGATTGTTCGAGATGTTTTGATATTTCGGTTTTTTTTTTTCAGAATGTTTTACTGAATTGTGGACATACCGTTGCAGCTACTTGTTCTGAAAAACAAAAAATAAAATGTGTAGTGGAAGTAGAGAAAACATTTACTACGTGTAGTCATCGCTGGATAGTACCATGTCAAAACTACAAAAATGCGCGTTGCGGTGAAAAATGTGAAAAAATTCTACCTTGTGGTCATCGCTGTCAATCGCTCTGTGGAAACTGCACACTGGGTCAGTTATTGTTTTGAAACTAATTTCAAGTCAGTTCATTTTAATTCCTGCTATGGAATAATCACTTTCATTAACTTTTTTATAATTTAAATATCAAAATCCTTCCCATTTTCCTTCTTCATATAAATAATCTCCTACGATTTCATTGCTTTATAATTCGGTTATTGGATGATCCCTTAATTATTCGATGCAGATCATAAGTTGATTTGATGGTGTTAGCTATCTGATGAAGAATAATGTCCTTAGTCCTGAATTACCATATTACGCTGAGTTTTACCTTCGGGCAGAATGAAATTTTTCTTTCCCTGTATTCAGACAACGAGCACAGTAGAAAGACAATTAAGAATAAGGAATCATACTAAATTAATCCATTCACAGAAGGGTGTGCTAGTTGTCCTTCAATTTGTGGTAAACGACTTTCTTGTGGTCACGATTGTTTGCGTACATGTGGAACACCTTGCGAGCCTTGCATTGCTTTTTGTTCAAATCAGTGCGGACATTCACACTGCGGTCAACAACTTGATATACTTGCGGTGCGAAATATTCCGTTATTCACTCATTTTGTTTACAATTTTTCTGTTTGCAATTTTTTTTGTTTACAATTGTTTACAATTTGTTTACAATTTTTCTTTTAAATTTCAGTCACTTACATTGTATTACTGAATTATGTAGCATGTTCTTGTTTCTCTTTCATGAAGGGATTATTGTAACACGAATTTTAAATTAAAAAAAATTGTATTGTTATCAACCTATTACAGGAACAAAGAACTCGATGTGCTGATTTGTGCAGCTTTTGCGTGCAGCGTTGCATGAATAGCTGCAAACATCAAGAATGTCAAATGCAATGCTGGCAAGTATGCAGCATTAGCCCGTGCAGTTTTTCGTGTGACAAAAAGCTTGATTGTGGGCATACTTGTCTCAGTCCATGTGGCGAAATTTGTCCAGGTGACATCTTTTTAGCGGTAATGTCAAAAATGATTATGTGTAGAGTTGAGGATTCAGCTCTCTTGGATTGTAGATTTTTTTTCAGCTACTTCAGAGTATTCTGACGTGTACTGTTTTCATTATTCCCCGTGACCATCAGAATGTCCACTTTATCAGTATTATATTTCGTTACTTGCTTGTAGACGAGAAAGTAACAAGAAAATTTATTTCTATAGATATTTGCGTTGAATGCCAAGGAATAAATGTTCCTGTTCTGCAGTTTCAAGGATGTAAATGTATTGTTAGTATTGAGGTTAGTTTTACTATTTGTCTTTATCGGAAAATATCTTAGATATAAAAAAGTGTGAAAAGAGAAACTTCTTAATATGATATTTTTTAAAGAATTTGAAATTTTTGCTTTATTATTTTTTCTGATTAGTGTTTAACCATATATCTAAATGCCGTTTAAAGGAGGCCGACCTCCATATACGAGGACAGACATCAAGAAAGCAGCAGTATACATGTCCAAAGTGTGGTTGCAAACTCCCTGTCAATGGTTGCTTTCGATATGCAAGAGAATTGAAAGAACAAGCTATTTTCAATGAAAGGGTATATTTTGCATTTTACATATTTTGATTTTTTTTAACGTTCGGATGGTTATTTAAAAGGACAGGAGAAAAGTTTAAGGAAAGCCTCTGAATCTGTAATATATTCCTTTTGATTTATTGGTAAAACTGTTGTCCATGTTCCTTTGTCTAGCATCATTTTATGAAATAGCCTACAAAATATTCAATTTACACTTTTATTTCAGATCAAGTTCGCAAAAATGTTAACTGATGGCTTATTAATCAATTTGCAGTGTGATGTTTTGAAACAAGCTGAAGATGATTTAGCAAAAATCATGCGAATAAGGAAAAAAAAAAGCGTATGATGACTGTTAATAACCCGATTTTTTTTAACTTCTGCATGTAAAACCTCATTCAGTCTTTGTGGTCAAATATTTCATTTTTAATACTTTTTTTTAGCATGCTACAATAGAAGTAGCCGAAATATTACGTCTAGTTATAACGAGGCTTAACACAGAGTTCTACAATCATTCAGGTATCATGAAATGGCAGATAATGATAAAGTAAGTTGACACCTTTTGGATACATCAGCACAGTTTGCTTGTTTATTAGATTCGTGAGCAACATAATGGCATATGTTCCTTCATTGCAGTTTACTAGCATTACTTTACAGTATGCTTTCCGATATGTGCCGGTTAGTTACGTACATTATTACCGAAAAATTCACTTCTATTCCGAAGAAGCGCTACTCCAACTTGTATATACTTTTCCGTGATTCACTTGGAACAGATAATGTTTTCTCCTTGCTGGTAATACATTTATTTACATTCGTCAGTTATTTCTCCAGTAGTTTTAAAGTTTTTGTTCATTAATTATACTTTTAAAGCAATTTGATTTATTCGAGGAAATGGATCTTCTCAGGTTATTAATTTTTGTGAAATTATTGGAAACGGAATCACCATCGATGTTAGAAATACCGGTAGCAAATGGGCTACGAAAAATTTCTGTTAAATACATGGTACGTTATATTTCTCATTCCATTAGTTTTGTTTTATTTTATTCCATCAATTTTATTTCTACACTTCCTTGTCCTACTTTAAGTCTTAATTCTGCATTTCTTTGTCCAACTTTTTTCTATAAAAAAAAGATGAGTCTGTAAGGGGACTGCCATGGGATCAATATGGAAGACTGCATAAGGAAAAGATGCAATACAGCGTAGAAGACGGAGATAACGTTTAGAGACTATTCTTGTTTCCTGTTTACAGTGACAGTATAAAATTTCTAGCTTGGATGCCTCGCAAATGACTGCATCAAAAAAATGAAAGATTTGAATATGTGTCAACTCAAGGGTTTGCTAGAAGTAACGGTGAAGGCATTGAACTGGTCTAGTGATACGGAACAGAAAAAAGCTTCTTGTATGTTTACGTTGTTTATTGTATCTTTCGTCCAAGAATTTGCTGGATTGTAAAACTAGAACTTTAAAATTGATGAAACAACGATAGAACAGTTCTTGACTGATTTCTAATCAAGAGGGCGTAGCTGTTTGTGCCGCATTATTTACTTTGTTTTCCATTTCAGGTTATAGATAATTTCTTGGTCTTTTTCAGCCCGATTTGTACAATATTGTCGTAATTTGTATGAAGTTTTGAACATACAACCTATGCCGGGCAGTGATTTGCAGTGTTTGAATTTTCCTTATTAAAGTAGATCATGTCGCTAATTTAACTTCTGCAAAATACATCTGTATTTTGGAATTACATGAAAGCAGGCTGTTGTGAAACTAAATTCACGCATAATATATAGGTAGTATATACTAATGCAAGTCGTTGATGCCTTAGAATGCCTGAAGTATATGTCCATTTATTGTAAATTTTACCTTCTCTCATTATTCTGTGCTTGATTTTTTTAAATATATTTAAAATTTGAGTTCGTTATGTGGGATCGACGCCCATATAATGGATTCAAATGTTAAACATATTAAAAATCTGCGCCCACCACTTTTTTAGAGTAACGTTAAACGCTGTAAAAAATTTAATAAAATGTACAGAAATGGATGGATCCGCTTGTATTCATCATAATATCATATTAAATGCTGTTTACTGTTATCATACTCATCATAATATTGTATTAAATTCCGCAGTTCTCCTCAAAAACATTGTAGAGGTGATCTGCAGCGATTGAATCAAATATCTAATCCGTTTAACCTCTATTATCAGATTTTCATGTCATTTTTGTTATTGGTGTTTACTGTTAGTAAACATTTTATATCTTAACGATCGATATAAGTGAGCTGAAGTAGAGGATGTGTGGATTCGTCGAAGAACATGCCAGATTAACAAGGAACTGAAATTCGGAGAAGGGAAGCATGAAGAGTCAGCATGGGAATGACACTACAAATTTAGGGATGTGTAGTTGAATTAATGTGACGTGCTTCTTTTCTTTTCAAACGGATTCATCTGTTTTATTATTGTTCAATAAAACATTGTTTGTTCTCTTGAAAAACTATTCGCCTGTCTGTTTCATGATTTTACAACATTTTGACATGAGGAGGGTACAGAATACTTCACCCTCCTGTTGTAATTAATTAATTCATAATGGTATTTAGTAAGTTATTTAAACATGTGTTGCGGGTAGTATTCACGAAACAGTATAAGTGAGGATTTATAAGTGAATCAATCGCGCATGCAGCTGTAGGCTGTAGACTTGGACCAGTCTCTTTCTTATAGGGATTTGTTACAACACTTTCAGTGGAGTACAACAAGGTCTGGATATGCAGACATACACCATCAGTTCAGATCAGTGCCGTTGTCGAGATACCTTGTTGCACATTGGCCATGCGGAATAGACGCATTCTTGTCATGGATTACGTGTAGTTAGGAGTGTATTTGTGAAGTGTTTAGATTGGTGGTATTTCATTAGGCGAGGAAGGGAACGTTTTTTAAGTTATCTTCGTGAAAGAGTTCAGGAAGTGTTATATTATATGTATTGCTCCTTGTCATGTCGGAATAAACCAGTTTCAGGGTTGTAATTTGCAAGGTAATAATGGTCCTGCTAACGCTGATTGCACGTGTGGCCGATGGTCTGATTCTTGCTACTTCAATTGAGGGCAGCGATGAAGTTCGTTCGCTTAAAGTTTGGTTCATTCAAATGTGGCTTAACTTTGATTAGTAAGAAGTCTTATGAAAAGGGAAACGGTTTAAAATCACCCTGAAATGTCTCTTTATCGTAGATAATAGCAGTAGTATTAAGAGTACTGCACTAGGAATCTTAGCGATTAAAGAACATACAGGGCGCATTAACAGTGGCATAAGGAGGTGCCGTCTTTGGAACGAATTTAAAATGAAAAATCACCTTTCAAATATTTTACAACATATTATCATCAAATTTCTGTCTGAAATTTCGCTTGAGCGGGTCAGTAGATGGCATACTAAATACTTTTTTGGTTGATAGTTTAGGCAACGTTTTCAGCCGGATCAGAATATGGTGAAATATACTAATCAGGCAAAGATGCTTTTTCGGAAGCTGAATGACAACAGTCCAACTATACACACTCTTGAGAGTGGACCTTATTATTTTCAGTTAGTTCTCTTCTTTTTAACGTTAGTAAGAACTTGACTATCTTTGTTGATGTGACAGTCTTAATGGAAACTAGTAAAGTGATTCATTTTAACTCCTGCAAACCTGGATATTAAATCATATTGAATATTTTTATTAAAGCTATTTTACAGCTACGTGATCAAAAGACCAGTCTGCTCATTATGTCTTTGTGACAAAAATTTTTCACGAAAATCCGCCTTTGCATATTTGGAAGATGTCACCGATGAATTCCTTGGTCAGAATGGCACCCGCGTAGCATCTGTCACTAGACCATATCATTTCATTGAATTTGGTTAGTTTTCCAGTTTAGTTCAGTTTTGGTGTATATTCGTGCACAAACTCTCAGATTTGCATATTTCCGTTTACCAATGTAAAATATTGTGTCTCGAAATTCAATATAGCGCTTTTGTTGATCTTAAGACGACAGTGATTCAAACGGTTGTACACGAATTTCTTGTGATATACCCTAACAATGTCCAAAATGATGTTGATGCTATTCAAAATTTAAAAAAAAAAGAAAAAACATGATTTTTCCCGCTCCTTATATCTGCATCTAATAACATGCAGATTACTACATACAACAAGCAAAAAGAAAGTATGTGGGCAGGAGTCGTCATGCAATATCTGCAGTAAGTAGTGAGCTTCAAGACGTGACGCGCATAATGGTTTCAAATATTGAGGATGTAATTCATCGCGGAGAAGCATTAAATAGTAAGTTTTTTGTTGCTGTTTGTTTCGTTTACAGCTCTAACAATAACTGAATAAACCAAACATTTATGTGGCATTATATTATCATTTTGATTATGTTGCTAAATAATGAATGCATGCAATAATCTTTTGCATAGCGAATAAGTAAACTGATTTCTTACTTGCTGAAGTAAATTAGACGATGATGCTGTAAATAAAGTTTAGTTTGGTCCATAGTTCCGAAATTTTGGAATAAGTTAAACTTAAATATCTGGTTTTAGTTAAAATCTGTTTTATAAAGTTTCGATTTATTTCGAATTTATAAAGTAACATTTTTCAACAGTTTTGGAGACAAGGGCAAATGACTTGTCGGATATCAGTAAGAAGTATCGAGAAGATGCGAGATTGCTTAATCGGAAGAGTACATTATTCAAGGTAACCGCGCTTATTTTCTTTCTAGGTTTTTTCGGTTTTGTTGCTCGTTACTTATTCTGGTAGCTACTCATTGCCTTTTATTATTTATTCGCTTTGTTAATGTTATTTCCTCCTTTCCTTTTAATTTACTTTTCTTTTGCTCATATTCTGCATATTGTCCTTAGCAAGAAATATAATTAACACGAGATGAAGATACTTTCTACGATCTTTCATGCAGATGGGTTTCATCGAATTCCTCAGTAATTGAATTAACGATGTCCGACACGCACGGTGAATAGAAAACTGATTTTGGGGACTAAATATACGTTTCAATGATTACACATTTGAAATTTTTCTAAGGTTCTGGTTTTTGAGGCTCGTTTTAACTGAGGAACTTTGTCCTTTCTAAATTTTTTAATTCATTCGAAAGGACTGAAGTTCAGGTACTTACAGAAGTAGACAAGATAAACTGCCAAATTGGTACTGTCTGAACTGAATTCACTAGAAACTAGTGAACTTCCTTAAACGATTTGTTCCAAAACATGCTAGTTCTTCTTTGTTAATACCACTCTTTCACTTTTTCAGATTTGTTTCGGTAATGATTGGTTCATGTTTTGTTTTTTGTTCACTTATGATATGATAAACTGATAAAGTGTTTCGTGTATTCACCCAGGTTGACTTTATTTTGCAAGCGGATTAAAATACTTATAATATGGATGTAGTAAATAAATAAATAAATAAATAAATAAATGTATATATATATATATACATATATATATATATATTGCTATTTTCTTCGTTGATTTCTTTTATTTCTTCATTGATAAAAATGGCTTTGTGTCTCAGATTGGTTTGACGATGATATTTATAAAGGTACGAAACAGAGAGTGGAAGATATCTTAATTTGACCGTGTGTGTGTGTGTGTGTGTGCGTGTGTGTGTGTAAATATATATGTAAATGTTGTTCTGGTTCGTATTGTAAAGTCATTATTTTATTATTTCATTATATACAAACCCATTATTTTTATGGTTTATTGTCAAATTAAGTGCGCAACTGAGATATTTTGAGAATTTGTAAAGGATAATTGGGAAAATCAATGTCGTGAAAATGATTTAAGAACTAACTATTAACCTAACTTGAGAATTTTCTTAGAATTACATGGCCATATCAACGTGTTCGAATAGTTCTGAGTTGTAAATAATCTAAGTAAGCGCTTTGGAAGTGAAGGCTGTATATTCGATAAAAATTGAACCCTTCGTAGTTAAAAGGCATTTCTTACTCGTGGAATATCTTAATCTGTGATATTTTTGCGATGTTTGTGGGGATAGAAATATCGATCGACTCATTACAGAAGCGATTTCTCGGTGACATAGTCAGTTCTTTTGCTCTGCGTATAATTCACAGTGATCGATGAATTACACTCCTCTCTTTTATCAGTACCGTCATCGGTTTGCTTGCTGGTTGTTTTCGACCGGTTCTGTAACGGTTGCCATGGCGAAGTTGCACATATCGGTTTTTTTGAATTGCAAGAGATTTCACAATATACCGTAAGGAACTTTTGAAGTAAGACTGTTCTATATACGAATTAGGTGTTAGTGCGTGTTAACTTGCATGATACAGTGCCAGCCAAAGTCATTTAGTGTTATCCGTTTACCCCATTGCAGTAACAGACGCGCTATGACTGATAGTGATTCAATAAAAACATACGACTATCTGGTAATTGGTGGTGGTTCCGGAGGTATCGCGAGTGCTCGTCGCGCTGCTGAATTCAAAGCATCTGTGGGATTAATTGAGGAAGCGCATCTCGGTGGTACATGCGTTAGTTTTGTCTAATTTCATGGGGGGATTTTTTTCACATCACTTGTTTAGAAGGAAGAATTAAGTTAAAGTCGTGTTTTTTCTGGGATTTTTTGTGTTCACAGGTAAATAAGGGATGTGTTCCGAAGAAAGTTATGTACAACTGTTCTCGCCATGCAGAAATAATCTCCAATCATTCCGATTATGGTTTTGATGTGACACTGAATGGATTCAATTGGAAGTAGGGTTAATTTCCTATTTGTGTTCAAGTAGGCTTTTGCTTTTTCACTCCCGATACGTTTTTTAAATTAAAATTATCTATTGTAATTTCGTTTAGAAAAATGAAGGATAGCCGTGATGCATACGTCAAACGTTTAAATAGAATATACGAATCAAACTTATCCAATGTTAGTCTTTCCTTTTCATTTTTTCCCATCAATCAATAAAGAGCAATTCAATGTCGAAATAGAGTTGTATCGCTGCGATTGCACCCTTTTAGTGGCGCTTTCTATTCAGTGCTTTGGTTATCCTGCTGATTCAAAACTGAAGATCTCAGTTTATATGTTGAAACCTCCTGCATTCAATCATTTTCTTTCATGTATTATACATATGACTCATTTATTTTATCTACATGTACTTTACTAATAAAGCTAACATAAAGACTGGATGTTATGCATAAAGATTAGAAATGAAATTATGCTATCCAGTTCACATTGTTATACAACTTTTACAACACAGAATGCTGGATTGAGTTATTATTAATTTTCAACAAACAGTATTTCATTATGTTTAATACAACCATTATCAAGTTCCACTTGCTCCATTACAATGATTTTCATTATTCATTTTCATCTTTATTTTTTAATTGTATATTTATTTTAGTCACAGGTTGAACTGATTCGAGGAAAAGGATCGTTTACCGAAGATGGTGTTGTTGACGTTAATGGCAAAAAGTATTTCGGAAAGCACATACTAATAGCAGTCGGAGGGTGAGCGCGTGTTAAATATTTTTCCTGGAATTGGGAACTATAACTTTGGTGAGAAATATCATAATTTTTCTACTGTATGATCACAGGTATCCAAAGAGGCCTAACGTGCCTGGAGCAGAATACGGTATCGATAGTGATGGTTTCTTCCGTCTTGATATTTTACCCAAGTGAGTTTTTGAAGATGTTTTTTTTCCCTCACTTCATTGTGAAGACGAAGACTTATTCTTTGTTGTGTGTTGTTACCGACATAATTATTTTCGGCCTTACAGAAATTTTATCCTAGACGTGCGGTAGTAGTGGGAGGCGGTTATATAGCAGTCGAATTATCATCCGTGCTGGCGGCGTTGGGATCTGATGTTCATTTGTTAGTACGAAAACCAAGGGTTTTGTGGAATTTCGACCACACACTATCTGAGTGTTTAACGGAATCCATTGATAGAGGGCCAACGAATCTTCACAAAAATACGGAAGTAAACTTTTTTTTATCATATTCGATTCATATTCTAAATAACAATGTATTCATTAGTTAGTATGTTATAGAAATTATATTTGTTATAGAAATTTTTTATTTTGCATTGTGAAAAAGAACTGGATAACACCCATAGGATGTTTAATATGTTTCAGAAGTATTCCACAGGTGAACTAATACTGGCCCTAAAGAACCATGACTGTATACACAAAAAATGCTAGTGTTAAATTAATGGCTCACTACTCTAACAAAAGACTCTCTTAAATTTAGTGTCCTAATATAGTCATATAGCTGTAAAATGAGTTAATGATAAATATGGGAATGATTTTCTTCGGTGTGCAATGTATATGAAATCAAATGAACTAACCTGAGCACTACATCTAAGAGAGTCTTTTGTTAGAATGGTGGATGGTTTATTCATCAATTTAACAGTAGCGCTTTTTGTGCTTACCATTGTGCTTTAGGTTTTGTAGGACCCTTTGTAATATATCATCAATGGTGCATCCATAAAATCCTGTTTATAGTATGCACCGTTCCAGGTGAAGTCAGTGGAAAGGAAACCTGATGGATTACTTACCGTGCATACAACTAATGGTACCATTAATGAAGTAAACAGTTTAATCTGGGCAATTGGCCGCCTTCCTGCAACGCGTGGTTTAAATCTGGACTATGTGGTGTGTAATTTTATTTCAAAAAATTTTGTTATAGGCTGTTGCAAAATGGGATTCTTAGAAAGGAGATTTTACAGGGTGTGGAAACTGATCAAATCGGCAATGTAATTGTGGATGAATATCAGAACACATCGACCAAAAATGTTTACGCAGTAGGAGATTGCTGTGGAAAAGCACTATTGACACCAGGTCGTTTGCTGAGTTATTTTAACTTTAGTGATCATCACTTGAAAAATAATGTATATGCATATATCCGGCTTTGTTTCACATTCCATTATACTGCAATGAGAAGTAAAAGCTCCGAAGTATTAAAAAGTTTTTGTCTTATTAATAATGACGAATGTTTCTCAACCTTTTCTTCCCCCAGAACACTACAACTCGTGGTCCGAGAAGGTTTGAAGGATTATTTACAATTAGTTTTGAGGAGACATTCAATTTGAAAAATAGATGCTTTATTTTTTTTCAAGTTCATACTAGTCAATAATTTTAATGAAGCCTTCAGTCGCAATTGCCGCTGGTCGGTGTCTTGCCCACAGACTGTTTAACAACGAAATAAACAGTCGTTTGGATTACGAAAACATTCCGAGCGTTGTGTTTAGTCATCCACCGCTAGCAACTGTTGGGCTTACAGAAGGTGAAAGCTGTTATTACTTTTTATTTCCAACCTATGAAACAAAAATTGCCGCAATTTTGTACAGCGTTCTTTTGCTTCACTTTCATTTATTTCCATCTTCTAGAAACTTTTATTTAGTTTGTATAATTCTCAGATTTTTATTTTAGCGCATGCTGTCGATCAATTTGGGAAAAATAGTCTTAAAATTTATAAAACGAAGTTCAATCCCATGTATCATGCTGTTACTCAGCACAAAGAACCAACAGTGATGAAACTGATTTGCGCTGGTAAAAACGAACAGGTAAATGTAAATGTATCTTTTGGGTGAGGCTGGGATTATATCACCTTTAGAAATCTCTTTTTTTCAAATATTCATTTCCGAGCTTCGAAATGAAACTCCAAAGGACTTGTAAATCTATTTATAGGTTGTGGGTTTACACATGCTTGGCGAGGGATGTGACGAAATGCTGCAAGGTTTTGCTGTTGCTGTTAAGGTGAGTTATATTTTGCATAACTGTTGAAAGTAAGTAACAGAAATAATTAACATATCTTTACTTTCTCAGTGTGTTAGATCATAATTCTGCAAGTTTGTCGTCGTAGAAGAATTAAATTGAAATTCAAAGGATTTTTATTTAGATGGGCGCGACGAAGAAGGATTTTGATGATACAGTAGCCATCCATCCAACAAGTGCGGAGGAGCTGGTCACAATGCGTAATGGTACGAAACCTGAAACAACATGAGCGTAAATGAACCCGTAGATAAGCTTGTTAACGCTAAGGAGGTTTAATATTAATACTTGGATTTAAAAGCTTACGAACTGTTCATGTTATCGGAACTAATCATCATAAATTCTTCTAGTTCCACACTGAAATTCTCCCGTTTTTATTGAAGATCTCCTTACAAATGGTGAATATCTTTAAGATTAGATTGTTCAATTTGGTTATCAGTTTATTGGTTGAAGGAAGTGCAATTCCCTCTCGTGGATCTAAAAGTATATATGAAATTAGGAAACCTGTTTGCTTTGAATTTGATTAGAAACTATAAACGGAATGTTCGTAGATAACGCATTTCAAATTATCAGTTCCTCCGCAGTGTTCGTGGAAGGATTGATAGCTTAGAGTCGCTCAAGGACCACACTAATGGTGATAAGACGTGACGCGGTGGCTGACAGGACGAGATCATTTTAGAACATAAAAGATTTGAGAATATAAAAGACTTTAACCGGAGACCATCAAATAAATTAATTTTTGCTATGCAAATATTCATAAAAACCATAATGTGAAGAAGTCTCCTCATTGTCCTCAGAAGTTTTCTAAGACCTTTCAACGGTCATTTTTCTCGAATTAAAAATGTGCCGTTGGGGAGCCTTTTATGCTTTTTATTCCATGATATAGTATGAAATACTAGAGCAGGTTTCGACAGCTGTTTCTTGAAAATGGAAAATGTGTAATATTAGATTTCGCATTTAGCAAAAAAGCTAAAACTAAAATGGTAGGACATATAAGAGAAATGAAACTGAGTAAAAATAAAACATTCCCTTTATTTTCAGAGGTTTAAATCTGACGCAATGTATTTGAAAAAAAATGAAGCAAACAAGGATTTTTCAATTTTGGGGCATCTAAATCATTATTTATGCTATAAAGGACGCAATTCAAGAAAAAGTATTCAGACATTTATTGCGTGTATTGGCACGTTAATAAACTCAAGTGTTTATTGCTTTTTGAATTGATTTGATCTGATTCTGTTGTTGATCGTTACGTACACAAAAAGCAAATAAAAGCATGGTAAAATCTAAGAGAAGCTCAGTAAACCTAAGACAAATTCTTGGAGCGTAATCAAACCGTTATCATAAAAGCAAATAGAGTTCGTGAACATCTATAAAGGAACTGAAGCGGTGGATTACTAGCACTCCAGCCATGTATTCAGAAATTCCGTAATTGTGTCGGTATCCCATTTTTCGATATTCATGGTCTTTTGCACTTCTCCTTGCGCATCCAATAGTTTAATTGTCGGCAATGTTCCTCGAACGTGATGAACTTTCACACAAGTCCCCCACTTCTTTACCATATTGGACTTGACGAATGCTGAAATTCGTCACACATATTGGTTATATATCAGGCATTTTAGTGAATGCAGCCATTCATATCTTAATAATATGCTCTACTACAATAAAATGTTAGTGTGTCAGCGAGCAGCCATCCCTCAAAAGCAAGCCGTTCAGATTATTCAGTTAACGCGAAACCGACTAACCTTCCGCCTGTGGGAATCGTCCTAAGTTACATTCACAAATTTCGATTTGAGCTCGTGGATATTTCTAAAATAATTTCAAGCTTCATGAACATTAAGATAATGAATAACAACACCAACTTGTATTCTTATTAACAGAAAAAACTTTCTAGTTTTCAGTTGATGATTTCTTATAAAGCAAAATTTACTGTGGAGTTAACCAAATGAAATTTTTTTACTTCTTGTTTCGTTTCCACATAATCTTTCCTACAACATGCATTACAGTCAGCAACAAGTTCACTTAGATGGAATTGTGGCAGTTCTGCACAACTTGAACACTGCAATGATTCGCTGTTGAATCCACGTTTCTGACATACTTGGCGATTTAATTCACTATAAACGAACTGAAGTACCACAATCTATAATCAACTATGCAAATACACGCCTAAAAAATGAAAAAAAATGCTTTATTATTCTTTCAATCTGTAATTGCAGCAATATTTTTCGAAAAGAAAATTTGACTTATGAAATAGAGAGAAAAAACGGGTGAATGGAATAAAATGAACTACTGCGACACGAATGTAAATGGCTAACAATTAATTAACATCATCAAAAGCACCAACGATATCACCCTCACTCTCAGTATGCTGCATGAATTTCCATAAGATCGAAAGGTTTCGTAATTACCCAGTATCTGTGATCAGATGCTGGATAAGTACGAACAGCAAGCCATAATTAAGTAACATAATCTGTAAAAGACTGTTAGGACTGACAAAATAATTTAAATTGACGATCCTCCAATGTTGATACCATGGTTCTACAGGGACACTATCAACATCTCACGATGAAATATGGATCAATTCCAACCATTACATTCGAAGTAGTTTTGAATGCATGAATGTCCATATATTCTCATAAGAGGACTTACCAAGAAAAGCTGTAACTGATAAACAGAACGACCAGAGAAAGCACCTGGACATGTCATCACAGCGCATTCACTGCCTTAATCTGAAAAAACAATCCAGGCAAAGAAATTAGCATTTTTTTCTGATTATTAATAAATATTTTGTTGAGGAATGGCAAGAAGCATTCATTTCAGCTGAGAAGAGTTCTCGAGATGTGACTACAAAGTGAGGTCGAGGCGAGATCTACTTCATACGCTGTTCAACTAATTCCTGTTACCTCTTAAGATTACTTGTCCTACAAGTGACTAACAATCTACCAGCAACTCCTACCCCGAATTCTCGTCTCCTCCTCGTTACCACCAGAAGCCCTGGAATTACTGTCAAGAGTCTCGCACATACTTAAATACCGCTGCTATGCAAATTGTCGTCTCACACATTTAAAAAATATTTAGATTTAGAGTATGGGTTATGTTGTCATGGAGATGGATGAGATGTAGAGGTGGGTATACTGTTGGCGGAGGGAATGAAAGCCACATGTGGTTGTCCTTGTAGTTCTCCAGTTATCTATAATAAACATTCGATCTCTGTTTGCTGCCATTCGAAACACAAATCTTCAAAAGACTTGTCGATCACAAGTGTTTTTGACGATCAGAAGTGTTTGATCCCTGGTCTCCCTCAACAAAGAAAACTGCGAGCCATCCTCGGTACTCGTAAGGAAGTGCTTTCGTCGCACTCAGTAAAGGTCTTTCTCTGTCACTGACTTTATATAAGACCTTGAAAACGGATAAAGTCTATGCTTCTAGATGTTTCAGATGAAGGTAAAAGTGTTAGATGACGCTGTAGGACCACTACACAGATTATTAATGTCACCTGAAAAACTGAATAGAGGAACAGTTCAGATCTTACTGATACTACTGAGTTCCTTTAACCGCTTCAAGGTGAAAAAGAAACCAATGAGGCTTTGTTTTATGAAGCAAAAAAGAGAACCGTGCTGTATCAGCGGTTTATAATGCTACTCTCAAACCCATACATCGTTTTAACTTTGCTTTCTAGCCGAATTATCCAAGACTCTTATACCTTTTTTTCTATGGTAGGTACTGAACTAAATAAACTCGTTCAGGTAAAGATCATTTCCAAGTTATCTACTCGTTCCCTTAAACCTTGAAATCGACAGATCAAGTGATGATCGGTTGTTTCTCATCGCATAATTGTACCGTTAATATAAAATCATCTCATACTGATCAAGTTGAATAATTCTGGTCATAAATAACGGGCCAACATTGAAACGGAATCCTTTTTCGGCTTACTCGAAACTCCTTGCCGCAGATTTTAATCCTTATCTACTCATGGTCACATTATAGCGTAATAATGAAGGAGGATGAAATTAATTGCTACTCCGGTCACCGAATACTCAAGATAATATTTCTTGGCTAGGCTTCGCAAACGAAGATTTGAGAAGGGCTTTACTCACGCTTCTGCAAACGCGCTGATGGCTGAAAAGACCCATGCAGGATTTGCAGTTGCAAAAGCCATAGCCGAAAACCTCCTTTGGCGGTATTGGCAAGGCATGGTTTATTTTGCGCTGTCTTTTCTCCTTGAGACTGATTCTACGTGCATTCTCAAAGGAAGCAGCAACGTTTTTGGATATGTCTCTATATTTCCCGATTCAAAGCCAGAATAGACCACTGATGGTAGTCTGTATGACCAAAACTGATATATTCTTTCTGGGAGTCTTTGTATCTACTCTTTTAGGCTCTTCTGTTGTGGCAGTTAATGGGGAGTTCATCTTAGAGCACAATGTTAGGAAGATGATGATCTTCCATCTCGGCCTGCCCAGCATCTGTGTCCTCAGCAACATGGTCTCAATATTGATGATCCCTGCCAGTTGAATGGAACTGATGCTGTCCTGAGTTGATCTGTTGGACTTGCCTACGGTGATGTGTGGATGATGACAGTCTTTCTGTGGTGCAGGTTAGTAGAGAACAGAAGTTTTCTGGCAGTATCATTTCCTCGGACGCAAAGATCAACAATAGGAAGTTGTCTGAAAGCTCTGTATATTTCTATTAAAAAAAAAGTGTATTTAGAAGCAAGGAAAGCATAAAAAATGTTACTTATGGTTTCAACCTATACTTTTTTAATTACATTAATTGGAGGCGTACTCTTTGTCTTGTTCGTGTTTTCATCTTTCTTTGGAATTCCTATCAATATTTCTTGTTTCTGTCAAAACTTTCTGTCTATTCTTGCGCAAAATAGAAGTGCTTAGAATAAATATATAAAGATCTTCATTCATCAATATTTTGAGAAAAACAAGAACTTCTTAAATTAAATAAAAAACATAAAGGATGAACTATCCATTACGAGTTCAATTCCTAAATATAATTTAAAAAATCAAGTTTGCTACTCGATAAAAAAGGTAAGAATACCAAGAACATAATAGGTAAAGTGATAAATATAAAATGAATTACAAAGATGATGACAAAGCATTTTAATCTATGAGTTAAATTTTACAAACTAGAACTTGATCAAAGAGGATAAAAATACCCAAAACAAAGTGAAGAAAATTAGATCAAGAAAATTAACTATCATGAAATTCGTGTAGTAACAACTGAAAAATATGGACCCGCGGATTCTGCGAAAAAATTACGATTTCGCAGGAAAATCACTTTTACAGTAAAAAGAGAGATAAAAGTAACTCATTGTTCTTTTTTTTATCCCATCATGACAGCATTTGAAATCCTATTGTTTCTGTTATCAACCTTCCTATAACTTCCACTATCTCTTCTATTACTGCTTCGAAATGATGATGTTGCTGATACATTTACAGCGATCGATTTGTGTATATCTCCACAATCTCGGAGAAACTGTACAGTTCAGAAGTTCTTGCTGTAAAAATGACAAAAATCATTGGAGCATAACTACGAATACATTACACATGAGAGTGTGGAAATGTGGATATTTTTCAAAACATTTGCATAGTTTACTGTCTTTGTTATATCCATGAAAATTTTGTCTTTCAGTTGGATTGTACTTCATCAATCAGAAAAAGACTTCCGGAGTAATTCCCAAATCCCGAGTTTCTTCAAGTCTCATAAAATTCGTGTGGCTCAGAAAATCGCAAGAATTATACTAAAAATAACGAACTTATACTTTTATTTCATTGAAGTATATCTTTTCTTCTGGTAATCCAATTTTCGGAATTTTCTCATTAATGTCGTCTATTAGCATCATCTCTTGACAGTTTTTTTGAATGTCTTTAAGAAGAAAATGACCGCAATATTTAGAAACAAGTTTTTGTCAAGCAAGTGAGCGTTTTAAATGCTCGATGGTAATGAAATAGAGAGCATAAGAATAGTCTGTAAGTTATCTGAAGTGGTTCTAGATGAAGCGATTCGAGATTGTGAACCGGTTATTACCACAAATTAATCATGACGGTAGCATGTAGATTAAGTGATGGCGCAGTAATTGTCTTGGATTTAGAAGAGGAAATGAAAAACACGGGTAATTTTTAATTTTTTCCAATTTAAATTATGCACATTTTTAGGTTATACGTCTAAAGCTTCCGTATTTAATGTACATTTTACTAGAAATTTTTGGGAGGAATCTAAATGTTGAATCGTTTTTATTTGATGACATAAATTTATGTGGTATATCCAATTTCCAGAGACGTTGTGGCCTATTTATTAGAAGGGTCATGAGTGAGGAGATTTGAGGTATTCAACCTATCCTTATGACTCACTTTCAGGTCCTTGAGTTCTAAATTCTTTGAAATGTATTTTAACCACTCAACTTGCAGGAATTTATAGAAATCAATCAGTGATGTGTCGAAAATTGTTGAAGTGTTTAGTGTTCTGGAAAAAGAAATTGAAGAAGAAAAAATAAGGCAGAAGAAAGGACGCAATTACTGTTTGCTTGCTCGAGATGCTGAATTTTGTATTTAGATGATCGAGAGGCAAGGTATAAGGTAAGAAATGTTTGATTTACACTTTTTCTGTTGGAATAAATCTTCCAATGAGTTATGAGACGTTGATCGCATAGTTTTCTGTTCTTTTGAAATTATTTGTGCTATTAGTTTATTTGAATTTGATACTCTTTTTTGTTCATTCGAATTCCATCGTTTTGAAGCTTTGAAAATCTTAAAGTTTTCAATGCCACAGAAAACGAATCACGATGTAAGGAGTCAGAACACATCGAGACAGATGAAGTAAAAAATTCGCATTTTCAAGCATTTACACAAAAATGATAAAATAGGTCAATGAATACTTCAAAACAATCTTTTTCGCAGTTTCGAAAGTTGTCGCATTTCTATCAATTTACATTCTGTTTTTTTTGACGCAAGAAATTTCTCGCAATACTTTTTTATTCGACTATTTTCCTTCACAAAGATAAAAAAACTGCCTAGCATGAAAAGATTGGCGTGTAACTTGCGAAATTCTGTGGTATTTGATGTGTGCGTGTGTGTGTGTATGTGTGTGTGTGTGTGTGTATGTGTGTGTAAGTGCGCCCTCTGATGTTAAACTGTAAAGAAAAGGTTGACATCGTTCTTGGCACCAATTTGATACCCCTTTTCTAGAGAGTGTCAGTCTTCATCCATCACGTCATGTACTACTACTGACACCGTTTTACTGCACTCATTCTTATTTGTAAAATGGTCGTTTTTAATATGTCTTCTTTTATTTCAATTTATCACACTTCTTGTCATTTTTGTTCTCTTTCTTGCTCATATTATCCAGAAAAGTACCGGTTGACAATCAATTTCTAGCTTGAATTATTGAAATCGTATCATCGATTTCGCATCTCTCTTTCGATATTAGTTGAATATATTTCAATTGAACAAAAATGGAAAAATTAAATGAAAATCAATGTTATAACAAGTTATAAGTGTACCTACCATCTGCGCAGATCGCCAATATTTCCAGCTTAGATTTTAAAACTTAACCCTTCCAGTGAATCATTTACTAAAAGACGAATTAGTGCCCTTTCCTTTATCTGTCCACATAATTGTGCAAAATAAATGACTGTAATTGTTCATTATGCCATAGGTTATTGTTTGGAATACGGAACCATAGAATTTCTTATGCAAATCCAAATTTATTTCAGCATCTGTGTGATTAAAAGCAATGGAAACGAATCGGAATATCAGTAAGTTGTATTTTCTCGAAATCATATCAAAAAAAGTATCAGTGAATTGTACTTTCAACTCAATGATCTGAATGGACATTAATTTGAATTAGAGATGATCACATTGCAGAGGTACTCGTTACCGGAGCATCAGGCTTTATTGGAATACATTGTGTTCACCAGCTTCTAAAGGAAAATTACACTGTACGTGGCACCGTGCGTGATCTCAATAGTCACTTCAAAATTGATCCATTGAAACAGCTAGAAGGAGCAGCTGAACGTCTAGAACTGGTCGAAGCTAACCTGGAGAGCGATCAAGGATGGCCTCGGTCCGTTCCGTCTTTTTCATTCTTCGCGTTTTTTATTTATCTGCTTGTTTATTGCTTAGTCCTTGCCCCCTCATCAGCCCTTTTTCTTGCCTTTCCCTTTCGAAACAAAGGACCGGGAAATCTGGACTTCTTATAATAATCGAGTAGTGTCTCAAATCGAAATCCATTTTGTCATTTTTCCATTTTTTTATTTTCTATTATTTTCTTAATTTTTTTTAGAGCGATAGCTGGTTGTACTTACGTTTTACATGTAGCGAGTCCTTTTCCAATCGTCACTGATGAATCAGTTATTTCAACTGCAGTAGATGGTACTCTGCGAGTATTACGAGCTGTCGCAAAATCATCCGTGAAAAAAGTTGTTCTTACCAGTTCTTGCGCTGCCATCAATGGTAGAAATTTTCGCAATCACTAGTCTTATTAATTTATAAAAATAAGGCAAGACAAAGAGGGAGTCAAAGAGGAATGTAGGACAACAGATTTGAAATGTCACTCGTACTTCATACGAAATGGCTAAAGAAAAATAAGGATGCAGCAGTATATCGTTGATCATATATCGATATATCTCAGTTCATTCATATTCATCGAGATTGTTTGCATTGCAGAAGGTCACTCAGATATGACGCGAACATTTACCGAAAGCGATTGGAGCAATACCGATTCGACAAATGTGAATAATTATGTGAAAAGTAAAACACTTGCCGAGAAAGCTGCGTGGAATTTCATCCATAAGGAAGGTTGAGTTTTTGCTGGGACCTGTCTTAAATTTCATTACATCTGAACTACCCTCTCTGGTAATTTAATTACAATTTGCATTCGAAAATTCCATCCATATATCGTCTAATACGCCAAATACAATCATAGAACGAACGAATTCGATTCATAGATGATGACACTGAAAGTTTCCTTCCTTATTTACTTGTGAAACAAAATAATTTCATTTTTTAGAAACGAAATAAAATTGTTTCCAAATTTTGTTGAAATAAAATATAATAATTGAAGTCATCTAACTGCTCTTCAACTTTCAGACGTTAAATTCAAACTGACTGTAATCAATCCGGCTCTTGTTGTTGGACCTCTCCTTCATAATGTACAGGGAACGAGTATCAATGTAAACTTTTCTTTAACAAAAGATTCTGACCAGTTGGAAAGAACTTCTCGCTTTGTCCATTTTTCTTGCATTCGACATTCGATGTCATATTTGAACTTTTGTGATATCGAGTAGTTCTCTAAAATTAATTGGTATAAACCAAATCGTTTTTTAGATAATACGTCGTTTCTTGAATAATGAAATTCCCGCAGTGCCAAGAGTTCAGTTCGGTTTAGTAGACGTACGTGACGTAGCGCAAGCACATATTCGTGCCATGCGAGAACCTCGTAGCGATGGATTACGAATTCTAATAAGTTACCAACCAAGCTTCTGGTTTATGGACATTGCCAATGTTCTCCATGAAGAATTCTCATCGCAAGGTTAAACACAAATTATTTGCCACTGATATCTTAACATTCACAACTGTCCCGGTAAAGCGATATTGTTATCAATTTTAGGTTATAATATCCCAAAAATTACGGTACCATACCCGGTAGCATGGCTTTATTCATTGTTCAGCAAGGAAGCAAAGCAGCAAATACTGAATCGTTTTGGTAATGAGGTGCACTTCGATAACTCTCTCGTAAGTTTTGTTATCACGTTTTGTTAAAATGTCTTTGTTCCTGGCTCAATAATAGCTAAAAGTGCCGGCTAATATAACTCATTTTAGGCAAAAGATATTCTTGGAATAGAATTTATAGACCCTAAAGAATCGATCATTGTCATGGCATACGATATCATCGAACGTGGTATGGCACCAAAACGAAAAAATTATCACGGGCCCCCTGAAAAAATTTCTTAAAAGGCATGGTATGACAAAAGCAAAACATAACTCAAGGAAGGTCTCGCAAGCCCAGTAACATTGTTTAATATTCATCCGTCCCACTTTAGATTCAATTTAAGATCGATAACTAACTCATTTAATTGCAGAAATGAATTTTAATTTAGTTTATACGAATTTCTGTTCCAAACCAACAAATGCAATTATCCCCATACAGGTCATAATTTTGTTACCTTCTACTAACTTCATTAAAACTAATTAAAACTTGTATATTATTCTCTGGAATAGAACCAATGAAGTAATCAGTCCTTCTGCCATATTTCCAAATGTCCTAGCTCCATACTCATTTGCGAAAGATATGCAGTTTATTATGATTCATCAAATTTTTCTGAACGCCATCCAGAATAAATTCATAATCATATGGTTCTCAAGCAGGATTTCCAGGAAGTAGAAGGGAAAAAATAGCCAGAAAGTGGAATTATTATAAGGAAATATGGAAATTTTAGGATGAAATAAATTTTGGGGTAGATAAATAACTATATGGCAATCGTTGGGCAAAGGAAATAAAAAAAAAAAAACAAGTATAACACATTCTGATATCGGCTCTGACGTTCTGATTTAAGCCATCTCAATTTTCTGCTTACATTTTTCAATTCTGATTTAAGCCATCTCAATTTTCTGCTTACATTTTTCAACATAAGAGGATGGGAATAATAATGAAACTCATTGGAATGCATCTTCAATTCGAACATACGAAAGAAACAAAAAAGAGTTTTAGAGTTTGGTTAGGCCATTTAAAGCTATTCCTTATTTCACTGATAATTCTAGGTAGAAATTTCGCCAAGCAAATCGTTTGCTTGAATATTAGTTCAATTTTTCAGACATTCAGTGATTACAGCTAAAAAAAATGCAATACAATGCTAGATTTCACTGTGACGGAACAAATCTATTTGAGGTTCATGAAAATCTTGCTATCCATCCCTCGAATAACAGTAAAATAGTAAAATTGTACAGAATATCAATATTTCTATGTATTTAAGTTTCAAATTTATTAATGCGCGTAATCTTTGACTGATTATTCCCTTGTGTTTCATTTTTAGATGTCACAACAGCACGTCTTTCCAAGTATCCTACATTCTGTCCTCCATTTTAAGTGACCAAAGCAATGAAAGCACCTTTTTGACAATAGCGTAGGGATCGTCGAATCAACAGATATCCATTTCCGAATACCTTTAATCCAATTTAATTTCAGAACAATTTTCTTTTGTAAAAGTGACCAAAAAATTATATTCTCTTCGACACAGAATCGGTGAATATATGGAAACAAGAATTTTAAAATCTGCTAGATATATACATCAAACAGCATCCCCTATCATTTCCGCGTTCCAAAAAGAGAAAAACCCCAAACAGTATGCTATCACTCTCAACTCCATGATTGCCCACAAGCGAAAAAAGATGCTTCTTAGAATTGAATTTCACGACTCCTTGGGCTTGCAACCCCCCCCCCCCCCCACCTATGGAATTACCAAACCTCGCATTTGACGAATTCTTAGTAAAGGTAACGAGTAAAACAGTTACAAATATTGACACACTAACCTGCATCTTTAGAAACCTCCGAGGACTCCCTCATCCTGGCCTCATTCCATTCCAGCTGAATTCAATCAGACCTACAAACTTAACATACGACTTACGCTTCCAACGATCAATAAGTAGAAGCCGTTCGATTTCCAGATGCATTACAAAACTTCATTTCTGATAGTTTATTATCGATCATGCACGAAAACACCTCAAAAAAGGGATACAAATAAAAGAAAAAACTGCAACCAACAAAGAGCATGAATAAAGGGTACAAGTCATTTCAAACAATTACAAATAAATTTGATAACATTTTAACATGGGTTGGGAGAAAACAAACGAGTGGAGAGCAGAAAAAAGTCAAACGCAATAAAAAACGCGAAGAACGTTATAGGAATAACATAGAAGGTATGCAGTTCATAAATTAATTAAAATGAGACAACACCTAACAATACGAAGAAAAAACGTAACTTCCATGTAAACGCAAAGAAATATAAAAAATTCCACAAAATAACTGAAGGGAAAAGAAACATCGCCAGAAATCCAGCATTTAAGGAGATTATTGGAAAAAAAAGAAATTTATGTAAATGGTATAGTAAATAATCAGCTAGCTCCTGTGAAATGTGTAAAACCTGAAGGGAAGAAATCGTAAGGGATTTGCGATGATACGAAAAAAAATCTGAAGCGGAAATGTGTGAGGAAGATTTGCAGTCAGGGATAACCACTAAAAAAAATGAAAATTATCAAATTGAACAAAGTCCTGATGTCTTCGAGAAGTGAACAACACAGTGCCACTACACATATGAAATTAACGAAACAAGCCAACCAACAGAAAACACAAACGAATAATCACAGGACACATAACAAACATTGTATCCCATCATACAACAGGCGTTCGCATTTTTCATAATAAAAAAATTCTTGCAACTATAAAATGGCAATCAGTGAATGATTGAAGAGAAATTTATACGTAAAAAAGCACAGAGGGAGGGAAAACAAAGCAAATAACATCATTACCCGTATAGCCTTGAAAAGTGGATTTTTGATCATAACTGCAACATCGTCATATATCAGTAGCATGTTGCATGCCATATAACACACATACAATTTTACCAGAACAGGTCAATCGTCAGAAAAGAGAAACTCACATTTTCTTTTAGTAGTGATAAACTTCATGAATAGTACTTGAAAAAGATGTCTCAAAGAAAAAGCTGACAAAAAAAGCCAGCAAAACAGAGTACACCAGAAATCATGACTCTATATCAATATAATCATTATCGTCATTATTATCATTTGCAACAAGTATCAATTGCAACAACGACCAAAATATAGAAGTAAAACAAACGAATGTAAGGGGATGACCAGTAGGTAACAGTAATGAATAACGCAGTGTCAAAACAATCATTTGAACAATCAATATACCGGTGATAACATTATTATTGTCATAAATCCAACAAGACATCTATACGGGCAGTGAGAAGGCTTACAAATTCATGACTGCAAAAATTAAATTAAAATAATCCAACCATCATCAAGTTATAACAATATATTGGAAATGCATTGGTAGAAAACAAGCAACTTTAATTTCGTAAAAAACAATTATCATGTAAAAACCACCAAATATTATAGAAGAGAAAACAACGGGGAGGCGAAAAAATGTAAAACAATTTGAACAACGCATTTTTCGAGAATGACTGGATACAAAGCAGGATAGCAATAGCATTTTTCTTAAAAAAGCACAGGGAGATCTCCTGAATAGTCAAAACACATTTCTTCAGCCACAAAAACAAAAAATAAAAAATAAAAAAATAGAAAAAAACGAACTACCAATTGATCAAAGGTGTGACCATATGTGCCTATAAATAATCAGAAGAAACAAGACAGAAGTGGCCTAAATTCTAAAACTGAATATGGTTTAGGCCTGGACAGAAATGCATCCGAAACAGAGTAATTCTTTCCTAAAAACCATTTTTAACAAACGAAAGAGTCCACAACTTTTAGCAATAAAGTTCTGAATGGTAGATACAACTTTCTTATAGTTCTTAATAAAAAAAAAAAAAAGAAAAACAAAAGGCGAACACCATATATTCATCAAAATCATGTATTATCCAACAGCAAACACTGTGTTGTACTTCTCGAAGAACTGACGACCTGTCCCTACTTGAATGTGTCAGATAAGATGGATTTAAGGAAAAGAATGAAGAATCAGAGATAATAAAATAATAAAACACGCCAACTTTCAATTCTCATCATTACTGCTTCAGTATTGTTGTTGGAATTGATAACCTCCCTGGGGTTGTGCTTGTGGTGCTCCGTAACTGAACTGATTCTGCGCTGTAATTGGCTGAGCACCGTAAGCACCATATCCCTACAAACAATGGAATTAATTATAATAAATACATCGCATTTATTTCCCCTACAACACTTCCAAAAAAGTTTTCCTCCAACGACATATTACAGGAATTTTAAGAGTATTATAACCATTGAGAAGTCAGATAACAACCGCAACTGTTCCATATGACAGTTCATATAGTTTGGATTTTTTTTTTCTTGTTATAGATGATGAAAATATAATTTGAAAGACTTACCGGTTGCTGAGGTCTTGCTTGTGCAGCTGGTTGCTGTGCAGCAGCAGCAGCAGCAGCAGCAGCAGCAGCGGCAGCAGCATTCTGCTTCAACTGATTTTCAATAACGGCCGCCTGTTCGTGCATACCCATACTACGATAATACTCTGCCCACTGTGCACTATAATCAGGCTGACCTGAAAGATGATGGGTATATGCTGGAACGTAAATCTTCAAACACTTTAGGCAGATTATTGCGAAATACCAAAAACAATTTTTTTACTATTTCCCCCCAGTAATCTTTATAGAAATTTTGAAGTTTATAAACGGAATTCACAAAAAGCATATTAGATAACACGAGCAAAATACATTGCCATTCACATCTACGTAAAGGAGAATGGACCAAGTTGTGCGCGACAAAGCGCTTACTAAAACTGTCAAAATTCAGGAATCACAGAGGAGACATTATATGCTTAACCCTATCATTTGCTTCATATCTATCTAAACTCATATAAAGATCAAAAGCTTTCCATACTGTGGCACACCTGTTTGCGGATTCACTGCTGGAGCTGCACTTGTCTGGGCTGGCTGCGGTTGCGGCTGTGCTGGTTGCTGATACTGGGTCGCATAGGCTCCCTGCTGATAACCAGGTTGTTGTTGTCCTTGTTGTCCGTAATATTGCTGATTCCAAGCAGCTTGTCCGGGATCACTTTGCTGATGACCTAAAAAGCAAAATATTTATATATCATTTTGTTAAACAGTTATCATATTACGTGTACCCTTACCAGTAACTAAAACAATTTTTTATATTCAAGAGTATGTTTACCAAAAGTGGTGTTCCACTGCGCTCCTGCTTGCCCCGCAATACCAGCACCAGCAAATTGTGAATTACCATTACCGTATCCTTGAGGAGCACTTGGTACAGTGTTATGTCCAACTCCAAATGCATCACCACCCGCCCCTGGACCCCCTTGTCCATGAAATTGTGGTACTGGCGTTCCTGGAGCAATGTCACCAACCTAAAAAAGTTTTGCATAAGCAATTTCCTGTTAACAGTGACTGTCTGCAAGTAAATCAGAGCATGATTTCAACTGACGTATTGCGGATACATGTAACGACTAGAGTCAATACTAGTTTAAAGAACGAATTTCACAGCAATTGCACCGAATTAAATTAGGAAAGACCATGTCACATATAAGTTTCTGGCCGTAAGATGAAAAAATTTCCAAATGAATGAACACCTTGATACGGATAATGTGTTGTGCATGATGGATCTGATAAGGAGTTCCCTTTATGATGAAAACTTTCTCGGATGCATTCGGCGGTGGATCTCGCGATAATTCAACATGTGCGCCACTTTCCGCGCATATCTTAAACGAGTTCTTGAAGCTATGGTTCGTCAAGATGGTCATTTGCACTTGACTATAGAATTAATATGTCTATTATGCAACTTGTTTAGTACATACAAGCGCAGTAATTCATTTCTGTATGCAGTGTAGCTGGGAGTATAACTGTGGAATACCTGACCTTCATGCAAAAAACAGGAACATAACTGCACAATAGTCATTATCATAACACTAACAAACTATTCATTTTTCGGAAAAAGAACACAAGAGGAAAAAAATCAAGAACATGAAGTTTTACAGAAATGAACAAATCTTACAGTTACATTATCTGGAATAGGAAAGAACATTAAAAACAAAAATCTATTGGCTATTAAAAGTGTGTGATATCTGAGAACCACCATTAAAGAACTAAAGAAAGAACAAAGATCACCTGTTTAATTGTTTCTCCTCCTTTACCAATCACCAATCCTGTTTTGTTCGATGGAACGTGCATGTAGAACATTTCCGCACCACCTGCCGCGCCACTCTTTTTGACGAGTTCAGAAATGAACTGAGTCGCTTTTGCAATTTGTTCGGCAGTGCCCTGTATGACAGCGCACCGCTCCTGCGTTGTCTGATCATCTGCAATAAATCGATATGCAAAACTTCTCAATTTACAACCCTCCCTTCATTCTACAGCTAAATGACATACGCTTCATCATTTCGTACGAAATACTTTACAATAAATATTAAAAATTCCAATACTAAGGAAACCACAACATATTATTACTACAATCAAATACTTAAAAAACAAACCATCAGGTTTAAACTGGATTTTAGCTCCTGATTCAGCAGCAAGGCGTTTGATCGTCTCCCCACCTTTCCCAATGATCATACCAACAGAAGCACGCGGAACAATTACCTGAAATATTCAAATTGGCGAGTCACCAGTAAAACATATCAATCTTGACTTTACGCAATTGTCATAAAGAAGAAAACAGGAAAGTAACCGTACTTCGCCAATAGAACGCTGTCCTCCCCCTATTCCGAATGATCCAGGGAAACCGAAATGTCCAGGTGGATGATCCTCACGTGACTGTAAAATTTCTTCAACCATTCTTCGAGCATTCTCGACTTTTTCAGGATCACCAGTAATACGCAAAGGTTTCGGTTGTCCTCCACTTTCTTGATTCTCTTGTATCATGACCATCTTGACACCAGTTTGTTCCTGAAACATGACGACAGTTGCAGGATACAAATCATTCCCTGAACAGAACTTATAAAATAATTTTAAATATTTAATCGACGCGCCTGAATATTTTTTATTGTTTCTCCTCCTTTTCCAATAACAAGGCCGCATTTTGCACCAGGAATAAACATTTCTTGCGTTATCTGACGCCCAGTACCAACGGGTATACCACCGTCAAAATGGCCTGTACGGTTTGGCGGAGGACGATTACCCGCTCGAGCTATTACCTGAAAAAACCCAAAAATTTCCACTTCAGTGTAATTTCAAATCACGTATATTGATCTGCGTTGTAATCCTTTCTATTTCTGTATTCTTCAAACAAAACGCGATGAATACATAGGACACCATTCAAAGGTGAATCGAAGGATTCTACAAATTTTTCGACAATATAATAACATTGATAAACATGTTGCTGTCCTTCAATCTTCGTTAAAAGCCATGAAAATTTTTAGGTAATGAAAGTTAACGCTATTAGTAAAGGATGTAACACAATAATTTAGGTATGAAAGGAGTAAAATAGCTAACCACAAACGGACTAGGCGCAGAGTACCAAATTCTAGGAGTGGGAATTTGTAGAAAATATATGGAATTCGAAGCAATCAATAACAGTGAAAAGTAGCAGAAAATTAGCATCGAATTTTAGCACTACATTTCCTATCATAAGCATTAAAAAAAATAAATAAAAGCAAGATCCAACCTCATTTATCATCGCCCTTGCGCGATCTACAGACATTTTACTGCCTTGCAAAGTGCATTGACGCATGTTATTCCCATCTGATTCCGGTGACATTTGTACGCGACAGTTGGTTTGTGACTGAATCTGCGATATTTGCTCACCACCACGGCCAATCACTATAAAAATAATGCCATATCGTTGCTTATAATTAATCATTAGCTAGATCCAAAATTTATTCAGCTGAATAAAGAAACCAGGAAATGAAGTGCACTTAAAGCAAGAAAATATACATAAAAACTAGAGTAAAATATCTACCATTACCAAGGCCAACACAGTGGTCGGGAACCTCCATTGTTTCCATAACAACTTCTCCGACACTTCCGACTGGCGGCATACCTCCTGCTCCAACATGGCCTGGACCTCCAAGTGTTGAAATTTGCATGCTTCCGCCCATGTCCATTGTGTTGCCAGTGATATTGACCCTTTTGGTTGGATACACTGAAAAAAACTGCGGATGTCTTTCCAATTCCAAAAATATCAGCATTTCATATTAAATTTCAACTACTTTATATCTGTAGATCACGCATGCAAAACACCAAAAGTATAATATACGCATTGCAAATATGGAGTTTTAAATGAAATGCACAACTGCACTGATAAAATTAACAAATTGGAAATAAGTCGATCGAAAATTAATCGAAATAATTCACATCAACAACCGAAATCCATAGAGAAACCGTTATCGATTTATGTACGTACTTATGGAAATTGAAGACTTCACTTTAAAAAATCCATAAATTGCGAATGAAATACCGTATAAACGCGTATTACACCGATCAAAAACGGAACGTCTCAACGCAATAACTTCCTAATATGAAAGTGTGACTGTTTAACGCATCATTTCACTTCTCCCATAACATTTACGCATAATATGCAAAATAACAAGTGAATCACTGGTACGTACGGTTAGATGAATCGTCCGAATTCGGTCGTTTCTGTGGATTCGAATGTGAAGAAGCAGCGAGCTAAACATAACAAGCAAAATATGAACATATACTATAAATGCATGTACAATCATCACTTATGATACCATGAATGAAAATCTATAAATAAGCATCTTCTTCTAAGAAAAACTGTCACGTAACATCAAACTTACGATAAAAATCGAAGTACTGCACATATGGCAAACAGTTTTTATTTCATTCCAGACAACAAATTTTCAGAACCAAATTATCATCATCATCATCATCATCATCATTATGCAGAAGGCATTCAGCCTGATTCGATCTCATAACTTTGAATGTTAATCTTTTCACAGCGGGTCAACGTAACTGTACCGCATTATAAAGCTACAGGGAATCTTTACACTATTCGTTCGGGTGGAGTTTTTCGAAGCACCCAAAGTGATGTGCAAACAAAGTTTTAACATTTCGTTACCGAAAAGTTAGAACCTCGTCTTGTCCATGAAAGAACTGACGTTTGTTAAACATATATAAATATATAAGTATAAATGTATGTATATGTATATATGTATATGTATTATATAATCCACTATTCCAATTAACAAAACAGAATCTAATGGAAATTCCGTACTCTTCTTTAAATCAATTTCAAGAGAGTATGTGAAAATATAGCACCGTAATCTATGTAAAGTTTAAAAAAAACCACTGGTCAAGTATATTCAGTGCAGAAACTGATATAAAGTCAGAGACAACAATCACTCCTATCTTCCTAAATCTAAGCAACAACATCCTTAACTGACAACCACAGTCCCACATTTTACAGAACACAAGGAGACAAGCAGTCTTCAACTTGTCCTATTTATATGCATTATTATACTTTCAACCAATAACACAAAACGTTTGTAACAACGCATTTGTTAAATGTGCAAATAGTTCTTCATCGCTAATAGTACTATATGATAGCAAACGATATGTCATGCAGCGATTTTCGAAATCAATCTTGCCTAATTATATCTCAGAAGAAATAGACATAAAGAGATTGACCTAGATAAGAGACGTATCACGAAAACTTCTGCAGGGAATTAATCAAAATAATAATAAATACCGAAGAATTTTTTTCGGTGTACTACAAAATGCATAACACTTCACTTTATTAGATGCAACCTTAGTTTCCCGAAGATAGAATGGAAAATTAGCATACCTCTTTAGCGCGTTGCAATGCGTCCTGGATAGCGTCGGTAGAGATTATGCCTGTAGACATGCCGCGACAACAGCCATCAATGGAATTCAAACTACTGCCTGACGAAAAAAAAATTGTACGATAAGAGAATCTTTCCAAACAGCCCCGATCTGGAATGATACCAAAACCGGTGACAAGCAAACCAGTGAGTATGGTATCAGGGCTTATTAATGATAATCATTTGATCATTCAATATACTCTTTCATGACAAACGAAACAACTGCACACCACAAACTGACACACGTGTGAGCTTTTCTATGAAACTCACTTAACAACCAACAGATAGCTACGTGTTGTTAACTTCCTATATTGTCAGATGACAAATGCAACAGAACAGTAGCACCCAGATCCCGCTGTACCACACCACCGAACAAAAACACACAAGCAGACTACCACCACCAGCTCCCCTCCCACAACATGGCGATACAGAATACAATGATTACCGCGTGCGACCACCCATTCATTACGCGCACGCATAGCAAGCCATTCCAAGCAAATTGTTATAAAGATACGATCATCAAGTGAATAACGAGAAGGCGCTTGTTCGAACGAAGAGGATCCAGGTAGTTCCAAACTTTCGGATATAACGCACATAAAGGGAAGTGGTAGTGTTTGAGGTATCCATTCATCATCTATGTCTACCCCTTTCAGTTGCAGTGTTGATCAATGATATAACTCTGACCAATCTGTTTACTACAGCGTGTAAGCTAGTCATTCTAATAATGTTATAAGCAGGATGAGTCGGTCATGTAGTCAACTGGTACTTTGGAAGGACACAAATACGTCTTTTATATAAAAGGAAAAATATATTTTTCTTATATACAGTAACATTCGATTATATGCACGGAAGCACAACGGAGAAAATTACATGTATTCTTTAAAGTATTTCTGATTAGGTAACGTGTCAAAGAAGGAAAGGTCATTTATAACCTGGAACACTGACGGCCTTCATTCCCACAACCGTCAAGAGTCACGTACTGAAGTGCCACGCTGTTTGGATTAGAACAGTAGGCTGTCCCACATTTTCGGAACTTAATTATGGTTCGAATTAACCTTTCCCGAAAGCCAAAGAACTAGAAAAGAGAGGATTCGGAGACTTAAACTGCAACTACTACAAAGCCAGTTATGTCACACCGTGAAACGAAATTCCCCGATATTCCTGGAACAGAGGCTTTGCTGAATTCAAAGATTTCACTCTTCCATATAATTAAGTGTAAATTATAAATTTACTTCTGTAAAATGTTCATTGCATGGAATTTACTGCTTTAGATGATCCAAACTTCGAAGTCTTATAAAATTTCAAAAATTAACTTGAAACAACTTCCAAATAAAACAAAACAAACTTGCAGCCCTTACATGAAAGAAAATTATCAACTCACATAACCTACACTGACACTACCGCCAGAAAACTATTACCATATATGAAAAGCAAAGAATAAAGAAATGTGTTGTATGGCACGATCATAAATGCATTACGTAACGATAAATTTGCATAATATACAATAGAAGAAAAAGAAAAAAAATCTCAGCCTGGAACAATGCCGAAAAGTGGTTCGTCCTGTCGCAAACAATTCCGCACCACTTTGAAGTATGGTAGAGGACATTTATTGAAAGACTAAATTTGAAAATCTACTAAATCAAACAGAACAGTTGGAAATAATCGCGAGAAGCTATCCGGTAGAGCATTTCTAATAAAATGGACCCGGAAATATAATACTATAATGTTTTAAAAATGATTCACATTAAAATCAAAAGTAAATTAAAATCTAGACCCCTGACAACCTCATTAAATGGGTCGATAAAAATGCCCTAACAAACGTTTCATAAATCAGCGCGTGTTAGCGTTGCATCAGAAGCTGAATAACGTATATTTGCTGCATTGTGTCCAGCTATGCGCCCGTAAACAACGCATTCTAGCAATGAATTCCCAGCCAACCTATTACGACCATGTACACCTCCTGTGACTTCTCCTGCAGCCAGTAATCCTTTGAATGGTTTGCCCGAAAATTCATTGTACACGGCTGCCTAGAAGTAATAATCAACGATTTTCACGAAAACGAGAAATATTATTAAAAATAATCACATTAACTAAAACTCATTCTTCATTGAAAGAGTTTAAATTTTCGAGATTACATATAGTAAAATCACATAATCACAATAGAACTCCATTGAAATCACTAAAACCCTAAAGATTTCAGTTCGTTGTTTTGATACTATTTAGATATTAAAGAAAAAGTCCAATCCAAGATGTAACTTTCTTTATACAAGTGAAATAAGACATGAAAAGAGAAATTACGTCTTTATCAATTTTTATCCCTCCCATTGTGTAATGAACAGCTGGTGTGATAATGGCAACATAATAAGGCGGATGTTCCAAAGCAACCGGGAAAATCTTCTTTCCGAATTTATCCTCCTGAAATAAATACCCTAAATGATTATAGGATTTCCAAGATCTTTATACTCCGTATTTTCAAAAAAAAGAAACCAGAAAATCTAGTTCCAAACTTAAAGAACGAAATGCACTGTTACCTTAGACAAAGTTGAATGGGCATGCTTGTTATACTCATCCAAGGTTGCTTTCAGTTTTGACGATTCTATTCCCATGTAATTCGCTACTTCTTCTAAAGTGTCCAATTGCTGAAATGGAACTATTCTACTAATTCCCACTTTATGACACAAAGCTCAAAAATATCCGATTAAATAAAGAAGACACACCAGGTGTAGGAAAAAGTGAAGACTTCGTAAAAACCAAACAAAAAAATCCACGATCTCTAGTTTTTGAAAGCGGGTGACAAAGAGCAACAAATAGTAATGATCAAAATGCATGCTTTTACCTTAAAAAAACCTTTAATTTTGGCATAAAAACCAAATGAAGCACGTCCAAAATCATCTACTGCCTGATCATCCATAATCATGAAAGCAGTATGAGCGCCACCAGCTTCTTCATTTTTAGCACAGAATTTCAAGATTTTATCGGTGACATGATCACGACGCCCTAGTTCATTTACAAATCGTTCTCCTTTATCGTTTAACTACAATTTTCAAAAACTTTTTTTTTAATTAGAAAGAAAAACACAATTAATTACTTGCCATCGATTTTCTTATAAATCAAAAAAATGTACCAAAATGGCACCCTTTCCCCTGAGAGCTTCCGCGGCAAGAAATTTCGTTGTTGCTACTGGATCTTTCGGGTCCACAAATGCCGTAGGATGGATCTAAATTTTATTCATATTTGCGTACATGGGATAATTACGAAGTATACTACTAAACTACAAAAACAATTATCGAGCAGAAATATCACTGTACAGTCTCCTAACCATCTAATATTCAGAATACTATAAGGATGTGTTTTAGAAGATGACAACTTTATAATGAAATGACTGGGAAGATCACTGCCATAGAGAAAATGAAAGTTTGAATACGTCAACATGTTTTCTAAGCTGTAAAAGAACAGCATAACAAATAATCCCCCCTTTTTTTCGGGATAAATCTAGCATGTCGTAAATTAATGTTAATGTGATGACTATTATTCGTTATAAGAAGTGCTATCATAAACGCTGCGAAAGTTAACAGTATAACTTTACAAAGTTTCTGTTTCACCTGGACATTTTGCATCCCCACCAGAGCTGCGCCCATAGCTCGAGCCATTTTAACCCCTCTCCCTGTGGCCCATGGACCATTAGTTGTAGGAAAATTAGCTTTTTCCGGAGCAAATTCTTGCAGTAGTGAGCCTTCTTTGGAATGATCGCAACTGAAACCACCAGTAGCCAGAACAACCGCCTTCCCAGATATTTCATCTGAAAATTTGCATATACCAAGTAGTTGTCATGAAAGTAATATAAATAAATCAACTGACAAAAAATCTGCCAGCACAACAAGTTGGTTCATTTACAGTCAGTTCCGTTTTATTTAATTCCATTATGAGCCACCGTTCTACGTGTACATCCAGCCATAAAACACAGCTAAACAGCAGCATTTGCAACATTTTGACACAGTTGCTAGGATCTTACTCCGACTTTTGCTCGGAAATGAAGTTAATGAAATGAAAAATTTAGATCACTAAAAAAGTATGTATCGAGAAATCGAAGAAGCAGTAGCATTTATAGCCGCCTATTTTTATTACAAGATACCACGAAAACAAGTGGATCGATTTGCTGTCAAACTGGCAAATATATTGTTAAAGTGATTTTTCAAATATACTGTTGAAGTGATAGCATGCATACAGATGTATTTTCCGAAAATATTTTACAAATTACTTTTTCTTTTTTTTTCGAAATAAGAACTGTAATCCTTTACTACTGAACTAAATTTTATTTTTTCCTATCAAATTATAAAACTAAGACCAAATTTCTGAATGACTCTTAAACTAGTGCTTAGGTTAATGGAAATTAGTTGTTATTCCTTTCAGGGGAAAGAAGTAAACACATCGTTTTAGTAGTTGCCGAATGGTAATCAAAGAAGATAAAAGTAAGATATACAAGGAAGAAACGAACAGAAAAAATTCAGAGATATTGACTCGTGAAATGATCCTGGATATAAATGTTAACGGAAAATTAGCTGTTGCTATTGTAGAAGCTTCATCAATCATCAAAATGACACTCCAACAAATTGTGAATATTTTATTTCTATCTGAATGCTAACCTAACTTCAAATTAAATAAAGTAAACAACGAAGTTCATCAGTCTATATCCAGCAAAATCATCATTCCAACTATCAATAACGTATTGAAGAGTGCCCTACTTCCAAATGCCGTGCAGCTCCATATCAATGAAGGTATGGTCAGTTACAGTTTCCGAAACAATGTGATATGCCTATATCGAAGTGATGGCAACATGTATCATTTCCATCGACGAGCTTACCATACCCATCTACGACCCCCTATTACTATTATAATGGATCACGGCAATCGTAAAATTTTCAAGGTAACACTTTTTTCAATGAATCGATATTACCTCTTTACTGCCGACATATCGTGATCTATGGAATGATTAGTAATCACCAAAATTTGACCTATTTTAAGCTTATCACGAAGGATACATTTCCACGTCGACGATATTGCCGCAAAAAAAAATTATAACACGATGAACAACAGTACGCAACTGCGTAAAGTAATGAAATCGGCATATTTTCGACGTAACAATCAACAGTTACCAGGGCCGACCAGATCAGCCAGGTAAGCAAATGAATAAATTCATATTCTACAAACTTTGGAAGTAATAAAAAATAATGTAATCCCACTAATTTAAACATAAAATGTTTAGGCTTTCTGGTAATGGCTTCATGCATCCATCATTGCCACCTAGTTATGGTCGTAGATGGAAAGGAATGCAAAGAACGCAAAAAATGATGACGAGAAAGAGCAGAAATAAGCAAAATACATGTCGTTTTAAAAGCAAGAAGAAGCAAAACCTGAATGCTCAATCAATGATGGAAAAAATTCCACCTAATAGACAGAACGCAGACGGTTATATCATGCGAAGAGACAGCGAAAGAAGCAACAAATTTGTGACCGACGACGTTCTCCGTTCTTTCGGCGTTCTCGCTTCTGACTATTCGGTAAGTATCACGACCTACAATTCAACAATTCCCATTCCCTCCTCATTTATCATAGTGATTTTTCTCAGGAATATGACGGTTTCACGTTGAATACATAATGCTAATAATATATGCCATAATACATATAATCAATAATATATATCATCAACAGCTCTACTAATCCACCAATTACTGAACTTTCGCTGTGCTATCTTGCTCTTATAACTGCAGTTAGGTTAAGACTGATATTATTATCGAAAAGTTGTTATTGAAAAAATGTATAGCAGTCTAATGCCACCATAAAGTAAAACCATAAAATCTATATTAGTTTTTTTAAGTACCCCAAATTTGATAGAAAACCCTACCCGTTATGCATGAATATTTTTTTCTCAAATTACTTTCTTTTTCTTTTTGCATAATAGTTTCAAAATATTGCTCCATTACTTCTTAAGCTAGTGGTAATTTGAACTTACATTAATAAATTTGGTAACTAACTACCTGATTAACTGTTAACTTATCATTTATTTCTTTTTATTACAGCGTTACGTTAATCAGAGCAACTGCAAGGATGTCAACTCTTTAATTGCTTACATGAACTATTCTTTGAACATTTGAATCCAGCTATCATTTCTGAAAAGAAGCAATTAAACCAAAAGAATTTTAATTTAAATTTGAACAATAAATATTACCTATCTGACTGCCATTTCTAATACGTACACCGGTCACAAAATCGTTCCATGTAACCAGCCCAACTACTTCTGTTCCCAATAGTATGCGTACCGGAAATACTTTTAAATTTGAGTACTTTTATTACATCAAGTTACATTACATTCCATGTAGCTAAGATCAAAATTTGATTCTACATATCTTTACCAAAAACATGATATTTACAAAGCTCTACTTTTTCTGGATAGTCTTTTTCATGCATGCGAAGTTTTTCCTTCAGTGCTTTGATAATACTGAATCCCACCGCTACTGGTTTACCCTCTTTCGGCTGCGGTATCCTGAAATGACGCAATGTTAACATCAGAATCATTGCAACACCATCCAAAGTGTGTATACTGTGAAAGTCGAAACGTCAAAAATTGGAAAAAGATGGAAAAATCAATTGGGCTATGGGAAAAAATTTTCCAGAACATCAAATGATATTGATATCTTAAATAATTTCCTAAAATAAAGTGATAATTTATAATTGGTTTTACCAGTGTACTCTCTTTACTGAATGTCCACCACAGAGATTTACGTCGGATAAATCGACCCCATGATCGATGAGGAACTGTATGGCAGTAGGTGAATGACGCACCTGTAACGCCATGCTTAATGTTTAACATATTCTCCAAATATTTAAGTCAATGAAGTCTGAAAAATAAAAATCCAAAGAAAATTATTTCCATACACAAAATGAGATAAATATTAAACGCGAAAATATTTAACATAAATATAGACTTGAACGAACTAAATTCCTTCCATTTTATTCGAGGTGAAATTAAAAAAAGGAGAAAAATGACAAAAAAGACCATCTGCAATCAGGCTTACTAGTTGGTCAACTAATACGTGATCATTCTCGCGATCCCCCGCTGACATCGTATCGGAATAAAACAGTTCCGGTGAATCAATTACTTGCCTAACACGTTGTGCTTCCGTATTACAAGCTGCTACTCCACTTGATGCCTAGGAAGTAACAAATTTTCTAATGAGGAACATTTTTTTTAAAAGTTCTCAGTGAAAAAATCGGGTTTGAAACTAAACTGAAAAACTACATCTTGAGTGTGGCAAGAATGAATAACACCAAAACAAAGCATCAGAAGGAGGTCGAGAAGATATTATCACCATTTTTCAATGAATAGAGGTCCCGACTCATCGTAGTTGATGGCATTGCAAGCCATGTAGGAGACTACAGCTTTGTGAGGTGCAGTGTACGGTTATCCCATCCGATTAGTCTGTATAGTACGTGGTAACATAGAAATGACTCTCTCTCTCTCTCTATGCATATATATATAAAGCCGTGGAAGTTCCATTTTCCACACTTTATATTCTAAATACATATTGCAAACAGAGCTATTTTACCAACCATTATCATATGTTTAATGCGTTACCTTTTGACTATTACCACCCAAATCCTTTTCACCTTCGATGAGAATAACATTTGCGCCGTCATGTATTGCTTGAAGTGTAGCAGAGAGACCAGCCAAACCACCACCGACAATTATAACAGGATCCGTGAACTCGGGTAACTGCAATTCTCGAACGTTTGATGTAGTGCCAGAGCTGTTCAACGCATAGTCACCACCAGCAATTATTCTTTCCTAATCCATTTTTATTTTCATAAATAATATTACAACAGTGTGTTTGAAATATGTCGTTTAAAATTTTCTCAAGCCGAGAAGGATCACCAGAATAGCCTAATCAATCGATTTAGGGACTGGACGTCGTTCACAATCTATGATGACTTCCGTTCGAAGGCCTACAGTCCCCATATTGCCAATGTTAAGTAATTTAAACTATCTTCAATAAAAAGGATTAGTTTCCCAACCCCTTCAATTTTAAAAGAACAAATCTTACTTTAGCCATAATAATCCTTGACATCACTCCCAGTAATAAATACGACAAAAATTGCATTCGTAAGACGAACAATTTGGCAAAAATATGAAATATGCTGAAAATACCTTAATTCACAACATCAAAGTTGACGATTTCTTCTTTGACGATAACAGCCCCTCCTTCCCAGTAGATATGGCAATTTAAGTGTAAACAGATGTATCACGGGTAAACAAAGGTGTAAACATGATAATTTTTGTTAAACAGATAACGCGGTACCTCAGCACTACACTTAATTAGCTGCCGGTTTTAAATCAAGTGTAGTTTAATCAAACATTTGTACTCTCCTACTCTCAGAGTTGTTGACTTCTCACAAATCTCAGATCATCGATCGTCAATTTCTGGTGCACATAGTCCTTTTTTTTAAAAATTACTTCTGACTTCTTTCCAGCAATTCCCAACTTTATATAAAATTCAACCAGTCGGGAGAAAACCTCCAAAAAATAAGTTTCTTCAACGCAACAGTATGAAATGTTGTAGAAGACAAAGCAGTAAAAGTTCACTATACAAAGCTCAAGAAAATGTATCAGTAACTAGGGAACCTACTAAAAATTCCTAATCCAGTAATCTACTTAAAAGGGATACCCTATATTCCACGTTAAACGTTTTTACGAATAACAAAATAACCTTCCCTAATTTGTCAACAAAGACTGAGCCGATCAAACGTAAACAGATCAAACAACCTCATATGAGAAGCTACTAGTACACTGAGCTGTGGCTTAGATCCAAAATTTACCCTAACAAACATCTGATGTCAGATTTACAGCTTTCAAACTTAGAAAAAAATCCGAAGATAATGTATTTACAAATCTGAAAAAGTTCACGGAAGACTGAAAGATGATTAATACCGTGAGGAGCTCACAGATAAGACAGAAGCACTCTTCTGAAATATTTCGATTTATTCATCAATATGAAAACACAACTGCATTACAGAACAAGAAAAGACATTGCAAAATAACAGCGACTTGTTATAGGAATTCCAGTAATGTGTAAAAGAATTAAAATATAATAGGCAATCATACCGTAGAATATATAGTACGAATAGGACAAATAATTTAAAATAAATTTAATAGATATGAGGATCTCTGAACAAATAACAGCACACAACAGCAATTATTTAATACATCAGACAGAAAACTTATATAATTGTAGGGGGAAAACTTGTATAATTACAAGAAAAAATAGTGATCAAATCTTATGAATTATGATGAAAGAAAGGAAGAGCTGAAAACCCAAGAAACAAATGCATTCCTGACCGTTCCAGAGTTTTTTGAATGATTAGTGTGGAGTCGGCGTCATATGTCTAAATATTTCGCGCAATTTTTATCTCAGTTTTCAACTAATACCACGGAATTCTAATCTAAAAGTCAGCATTCCCACATTGCATGATGCGCCTTTCCATGGTAATCTGTTAATCACTTAGAAATTTACCAGAAAAGTAAGAAGAAACATCCCAATAATAATAGCGACTTGTTGCAGGAATTCCAGTGGTATATAAAAGAATCAAACACAATACCAACATGGAACTAACAAATTTCTGAGCAAATCAATGTAAACACATACAGTTTCTTTTTTTTTATGCGACTAATAAAGTTGCAGGCAAAAACTAAGATGTTCTAGAATGATTCAGAAATGAAGTCTGGAAAGAGCGGTAACGTGCAAGTGAGCATAAAGATTTCAATTTTGCCGTTGTATGCAAATCTGAAATAAAGATAGTAACCAAAAAGAAAAAGGAAAACTCAACATGATATGGAAGGTAATCTAAATTATCATTTGGCAGAAAAACGTCTGTTAAGGAAGATGAGCAAATAAAAAGCGAAAAAAAAAAAGAAAAAAATAATAAAATAAAATTCGCAACATGTGCATTCGTGTACAGTCGATTTCATCAACTCCAGCAAATAATCACTCGTCTTTTCTCATCTGTGCAGTTCTGCGCGCTTCACTCGATTCCTCAAAAATGAAACATTGAAAAAGATCTCTAATCTAATCTTACAGTCCGTAAGGAAACGATTTACTTTAATCAAAGATGCTTTAGCTAAAATTTAATTGAAATTAGCAAATTACCTGTAGACTCGTCCTCTGATCACTAACTGAATCCTCATCGTCGTCTAGTTCCATCGGAGGAGGAGGCATTTTAACTTCGATTGCCGGATCAACCAGAAGACGAGGTGGAAAAGGGAAAGAAAACGGATTCGCCAATTCCGGAGATTTGCTATATTATAAAAATTATTCATTAATGATGTATCTTGCTTTGTGGAAAAACCAAATAACCTACTGACCCTCTCTACTGGAGAACCAATCATTTGTGCAACTTATTAGAAACCGAACAGAATTTGATTAAAATTAGAACCCAGATATGAGATGTGAACATCCATAAGGTTAATAGAAGCTTAATGTAAGTTTAAAAATACATTTTAATATCATAATTGGCTCCTTACATTGCCGATTCGGAGGAACTTGTAGAATTTTCTAATGCGAGTGGAGAAACGCATCCACGACTGACAATATGAGGTTGATGACAAACTCGTTTCGCTACACTGCAAATTAATATGTCATAATTGACTTCAGCTCAGCCCTCAAAATGCAGTTTTTAATCTCTCTTTCTGAATTTTTTTGCAATATGTTATTTGAATAAAGACAAGAAACCGCGCTGCACGTTGGTCAGAATCCAATTCGCAACCAGCTGAACTGGTATATCGACGTTTTATCACTTGACGAACGGCTATAGGACTTAGACTTCTAAAAACAATCAACGAAATTATGTAGTAATAACAATACAAAGCACTGCTGTAGTCGAATATATTATCATGATGTATGTAATTGTTAGAAGAAATAAAAACAAGATAAATAAAATTCGTTACATCAACTTTTAAAATGAACCAACATGTATACCGCATTGTATGTCGTGTAGGACTGGGCGTTGGACTTGGACTTGGTGAATAAGTGATGTTGTTGCGAACAATTTGCTGCGTTGAGGGTGAATAACACTGCTGAAGAGAATTTCGATTCTGTATGTTTTTTTGTATAAAATAGAAACATTTGCAACATGACTTTAAAGAGAACACTAAAATAACTTGACAACGCGATAACTTCCGCCACTAAGATAAAGATGATAGCCCATAAAAGCTAATGAAAAATAAAACATGGATACTATCGAGTCCAGAATCTTGGCTTCATATACGATAAAGCAATTGCTCAGTTTACTCGGACTTCTAAGATATCTCTTCCTACTCCACTGCGATGTCATTTGATTAGTTAGTTGCAATGAAATTTTGTAGTTTTGCTACATTTAAAGTTTCTAAACTAAACAACCTTCTGTATATCAACTGATCGAGTTGGTGACGGTGAACAACTGTGTGGGATAAAAGCATTTGTTAAAACAGAAATCGGTTCCGAGAGGGAATGCGTTCTCTTTCGCTCTTCACTACTTCCGATACTGAAATCGTCGAATCCCAGTGATACCTAAACGCAAGGTTAGGAGATATATGGAAGAGTATTGCCACAAAAATTTTAAAAAACTGCAAATTAATAACAAAATCAAAATTCGTCCACCTGTTGGGCAAACTGCATCAGTCTTTCATGGGCAAGTTCGCTTTCAATTGAGCAATTACTTTCTCGACGTATATTTGCAACACGTGAATGCGAAGGTACTGGATGACATGCTGGTGATGATCGTCCCGAAACGCTGGGCGATGGTGTGAACTACAAGCATTCAAAAATAAAAATTCTGTCAGTCATGAAAAAATGGAGTGATTCCCTTTGAAAATCTTTTTAGAAAAATGTTAAAACAAAGGGCCTCCAGAACCAAAAAAAAAGACCAATAGCACAATTACCGTGTATCTGTAACACAGAAATATAGCGGTATGTAAAGTGATTTCTGCAATTTTTTGGGAGAAAAATCTTATTACTTATTATTATTTTTAAGTGTATCAAATATATCGAATATTCCATATAACAATTTTAATAACTCTATAAACCTAACGGAAATTCGTGTAACACAAATCAGACACTTACAGTGCGTGGTAACGAGGTTTTTCGTTCTAGTTCATTTCCATTTCCAGTGACACCATTGAGTGAACGCCATCTAATTCCGCTTAGTTCAACAGTGTTTTGTCGCTCAAAACGAAAATGTGCACTAAAACTAAACCAAGGAGAAAAAAACTTGCATATTTTCATCTCTTCGTTTACATATACTACTAATAAAAGTATCCGTGATTTCAAATCCAAATTTGAATAAGAAATCCTTAGTACCAAAAAAATTAGAAAGTACTTTCCGCAATTCAACTTGACCTCAGTTTAATATATACCTGTTACTATATACCTGTTACTACTATCTTCTGCAGTTACATCGTCATCACTTGCACTATCAGGAGCGCAAGACAGATGAATGCGTGCTGCACCATCTTGTTCGACCCGTACATTATTATAGGTTCTTGAGATACTTCGATACCCTCCATTCAAGGGGTTTGGAGAAATATTATTCGATGTCACTGCTGGCATCGACAGAGCATTTTGCTGATTTAATGATGAACATCTGCAATAAGGATTAATCGTGCTAATGAAAGTGAATAAAATATTCGAGTATATGTGCACCATATAAGGAATTCGATTTGGCAGTTGATGACGAATATTTCATCGTTCTATCAGAAAAACTTACGATGAATGCCGTGACAACGACGAGATATCAATTTCCGATTCACTAATATTTGAAGAATATGGTGAACTCTGCGTAGAACAAGCAGGTGAATTCTGACCCGTAGATGCTGGCAGCACACATTTCACTTCTGCAAAAGAAAACTGAAGATCCTTCAAATAACCATAATTATCCAAAAATTGATAGGAAAGGGATAGTAGCTCTGACTTCGTGAAGAAACAATGAGGATTTACTGGACTATATAAATGCTTAACAATTGGGGATTTCAAACTCCTTCTAATATCCGTATCGCAATATGGATGTAATCTTGCTAACTGCACAGTACGCATGACAATCCTCAGCACCACGTCATATTATCCATCTGTCGAAAATCAAGGAACTATGCATCGTATTTTTATAATTATTTTCTTAGCTCACACTCTGCTAGATCAGGGCCAAATGATTCTGTGGGTACCTGTAGATCCGAGATTGACATCTCCCATGGTGTTAATGAATGATATACGGTACAGTGACCTAACAACCAATTCAATGACTTGATTTTGCTGATATCGATCTGAGAAAAAAAAACAAATCAGGACGTAGCAATTGTGACAACACAGAAATAAATACGCAGTAATTGTCGCAACGAAATGGAAGAAATAGTAAAGTAGCTTGACATTTTCAGAGTTTGAAATTGAACTTATGGATTTTTTAAAGAGTAAAAAGAGTGATCTGTCCTTCATTTCTGATAAAGACATGCACTGGCTGCTATTGGTAGTTCACTGCAACTATGCAAGAAAAAAGATTACGTAAATGTGAATATGGACATACAGTTATATCCAAAAGTAACACTTAGACTTAAGAAGTTTTGGAGTGAAGTAGTCAGTAAAGGTAGGTTTTGGAGACGGAGAAAGGTCGATCATTAATTACTCAATTACCCTCCAATGCACCGCACAACTCTCTTTGAGCTGCAACAGATGGCAATCATCGAGTGGAAGTAATGGTTTTAAATCTGATATCGCTTAGATTGCGCGAATTCCGATGAACTGGGGGAGGAGGCGGGAAGGGACACTCTGCTTTTTTTGCGATGATTCAGTATTAATGGATAACGAAATGAGCTGTCAGGATTTTTAACTGGTACAGGTTAGCTGAATGATGTGTGGTGGGGATAAGCCAGTTCTCTAGAACTAGCATCTGAATAGGAAGATAATGAAAATAAGGAAGAAAAGAAATTGTAAGGTATCAGTGAGAGATTATATTTGCTTCCTTTGCAACAGACTCGACATCTTTTGTCTTCATTTTTAACAATTACTCGGCTCGCCGACATTTCACTACAACTTTTTTCAAAAATAAAACAATTCGGCAGCTTTCTGTTTATTGATCAGCTGTTGTACGGCGTTAGCTATTTGCATGTCTGGAAACTGATGGATCCATTAATAAGGCATTCAACTGGATGGATTAATGGGATATACGTTTTAAATATAACTAATGCAGTACAAAACCTAACGTCATTAAATTACTACTGTTTTTCAGGAAAAAGATCTGAGAAGCCTAGGACAGCACAGTCTGTCTGAACATCTTTGATCTGTGCCAAATTCTTGCTTGATATCAATGCAACCCTTCAATGTTAGTTTACAGGTACCCGTGATTTGCTAAGACATAGTAAATTGAAGATTACAGGTGAACACATTTTCTGAATATATTTTATCCTAAGCTGTAGGCGTTTATTACATAATTACGTTCGGTTTCTTCCGCTACTGTCGAAACAGGGAAAGATAAAGAGAAGGCGAATCATAAATGGACAAATAATAAGGTTGAAACAGTAGGAGGTACGACTAACTCCTGAAATAGAAAATGATGTAGGCAATTTTTGGTGATAATGGTGAGGTACGTGCTGCAAACTGGGTCATTTATGATACATGTGCTGTACTCTAATCCGGCATTGGTTGAGCAACTCAGCAGACAGTCTCTAATTGGTCTGTGTTCATCCTTTCCTGATCCTTATTTCTTTTTCTTTTTCGAGCGAAACATATTATTTGAATCGAAAACCAGAATTTAGGCATTCAATTCCTCAGTTTTCCTTCTTTTAAAGCTTCAATTTTTTATTTTTTAAAAATTTTAGTTTTTAATCTTCAATTTCTACTAGAAACTGAAGTAAATTTATTGATTTCCACGTAAGATGGTTGTTGCAAACGGAAGATTATATGGAAACAGAGTAATGAAAAAGTAATGAATCAAAAGATGTAGGATCATGATTAAATCGATTTTCGTTGTTCGACTTATATCTCAAACCACCATCGTCAGATCCTTATCAGATTCGTAACAACATTTCATACAATAATTACAGAGCTTTAAAGTTATTATATGTTTTTTCAGTGATTTAAATGCTGGAAAGATTAGTAGCTACCATTTCGTAAATGCAGTTAAAAACTTAGGAAATCTTTCAGCTTTTATTACAGCCAAGGCTTCATCGATCAAATCAGCCCGAAAAATGACTTTGTCGTTTGCGAAGTTTTAATAACAGAAGTTTTCTGTAGAATAGCTATTTATTCTTTTTCTACAAGTAAGTTTTTTAAAATACTCTAAAAAACTTCGCTGATTAAGTATGTCGAAAACACCTCGAAAGACACGTCCTTCACTTATTTGGAAAAGAACACATTAGTGGATAGAAAAAGGAGAAGTTGCGTAACATCAGCACATGTTAAATTAATTATTCGTTGCAAAGCACATTAACTTAAAACGGTTTAAAAAATTGTTGAAATGTGTAAATATTGAAATGTGAAAAGAAATGAGTCATAAACTAACTGACAAATATGTTTAAGTAAGAGAGCGATCGAGATTAGATGAAAGAACGTCATTCATAGAAGTCAATAAAAGAATAAAGGTAAGGAAAGGCAGGTGAAAAGGACGAAATGATCAGACGTTAATAATCCAGCAAGACTGATCCATCCTCAAAAGTAGTTAAACATAATTATGCAAAAGATAATTGTTCAAGCGATGTGATCGACTCATCTTCTAGGCCTTTTACTCATGCGACTGCTTGCTTTAAACATTCTTGTATGCCTGCAATCAGGAAATCTCCGTCTTCCTCTATTCAGTTCCTTTCCATTTCACTTAACAA